GAGAGAGAGAGAGAGAGAGAGAGAGAGAGAGAGAGAGAGAGAGAGAGAGAGAGAGAGAGAGAGAGAGAGAACTGAAGCATGTGTGGTCGGGGAAACAGTCAAGGAGGTAAGAGAGGACACACTTGTTTGTGTATAGAAGGGAGGGGCGGGGGGCGGGGAGGCAGAAGCTTCTCGAGAAAGGGAGGACACTTAGGTTGATAATTATATAGCCATGCGGGATAATGATCTTGCAAGTTGTAATCTTAACCCTCGCCTTGATCCATTCACCGGTGCTAAATAATGTGTAAACCCTAAACCCTAAACCCAACACTTGGTTCACTCCGTGTCGCAATTTTCCTGACGTTATGTATTTACCCGACTTGAAGTTTACCCCACCTGAAGATGATGGTTCTGTTCTTTCATCTGAAATTTATATGCTCTATCGGTTTACACTTTTAGAGTCTTTGAAGATCACCAAAAAAAAAAAAGAAAAAAAGTACCAGTTTAGAGTCTCTCGAGACCCAAAAAAACTCAGCGTTACCCTTCTTGTCTCGCAGATCGCCACAATCGTACCGGTTCTTTTAGAGTCTCTTGATTGATCACCATAGCCGTACCTTCGATATCACCATAGCCGTACGTGCTTCGTGTTTAGAGTGTCTCTCTCTTGATATCACCATACCGTCGAGATAGTGGATGTTGCCATAGCCGTACCGTCGAGATTGTCGATATCACCATAGCCGTGCGTGCTTCGTGTTTAGAGTCTCTCTCTCTCTCGATATCACCATACCGTCGAGATAGTCGATATTGCCATAGCCGTACCCTCGAGATAGCCGATATCACCATAGCCGTACGTGCTTCGTGTTTAGACTCTCTCTCTCTCTCTCGATATCACCATACCGTCGAGATAGTCGATATTGCCATAGCCGTGCCATTGAGATAGTCGATATCACCATAGCCGTACGTGCTACGTGCCTTGGGTTTTCTGTGGAACATTCGTATTGATCCCTTTTGGCGGCTCGTAGATGACTCATCGGGTTAGCTATCCAATTTCTGTTATTTGTTTTTGCCTTGTAAATTTTAAACAAGCATTCGCCAACAATGTTATGGAATTGGAGAGATTTTTTTTTGTTTTTTTTTTGAGAATTTGATCTTTGCAGTCGGAAAGAAATCGATATCGGGAATCACCTTACAAAGGATTTGATCTCTGGATCTCGCGAATCGAAGTACAGAGTAATAAAAAAAGAAGTATTTGATTTCGGGAATTCCAGTAAAAGATGGATTTGATCGTTGGGAATAGGGAATCAAATTACCTTTTATTTTTTTTTATTTTTTTTTGTTCTCGCGAATCAAAGTAGAAAGTATTCGATCTCGGGAATTCCAGTAATTACAAAGGATTTGATCTTGGGAGTTAGACAGGATTTCACTATCTCTGAAGACCGCTGGGTGGTGGATCCATGGCTCTACCGACTTCACCCGAATAGAACGCCCTTTTTTTGTTTTTTTGCCTGTTTTTGTTTTGGTTTAAGGTTGCTGTCTGCCAAATTTGGTATTATTTGGGTTATTAGAATTTGTGCTGTTGGGAGGCCTGAAAATCCTGAAATTTGGATGACGTGTTTCATGCCAAAATTGCCTGAAATTGACTTTTGGGTTGCTGTTTTATGTGTTTTTTTTTTTTTTTTTTTTGGT